CAATTAGTTCTTGTATATGCTGAATAAAAAAGTTTGTGCTCTCTCATACGAGCACTTTTCAACCCGAAATGAAATTGAGCAGCGTCTGGTGTCGAATCCATGCGGGCCAATTCAAAAATATATTCCTTTATAATTCAATTTAAGCTGGAGAGCACATGCAATACAGAACGCAACGCGCAACAGGCTGGCCCATAACACTCGAGCGATAACAATGAAAATGAAAATGGAAATAAAAAGTAATCATATAATGTAGTTGCGCATACGCAGTGTGGCAGCAAATTGAGACAAGCAACTACAATGGCATTTCAGCTCTTGTTCGAAACGAGTTGAGCCGCACTCGCCCCCTTGTTGGTGAATGGGGGCGAGCGGAAGAGGTCGGGTCACAGAGAGGGGTCGCAACCGTTGACGGTTATGGCTGATATGACGCAGCTCGGTGTTTTATTTTACATGCAGATGTGTTATTGCCAGCGGATTTCTGTTGCAAGCATCGGTTTAAAGTGATATCCATTGCAGCTGGTTCGACTGCCGCACAATGCGGCACATGAGTAATTCGCAAAGCTATGCTAATAATGGGTCTGGGTGTACGGGAACAAAAACTCGGACCACATTGGCTGCCAGTTGCTGCGGTTATGCTGTGAGTGAAAAAAATTTAGTCTGCAACGGAAAATTTAAATATTTATGTATTAAAATATTTATAAATATGAGCACTTCCACATAAATGTTTATTGTAAATGTCGAAAACGCTTAGAATTAAATAAGATAATAGGTTTACTGAAATTATATTTTAAATATTCTTTTTTTTTCTTTTGTGGCTGCTCAAATTAAGCTGAATTTAAGTGGAAGAAATCTGGTATTAACTTTCCTCTTCATTCAGCATTAGGATAAAACATCTTTTTTACTTCTTAGAATTTGTTATTAGTATTTTAGAGTATTTACGTGTCAATATTTATTTTGAATTTCTACTTGCCTTTGGTAAACTTTTTTACAGCATTATTTACTTTGTGTGTTATATTTTGTATTGAATTATTTGAAATGAAATGTTTTTGAATTTATTTCTCTATGTGTTCGACGCCTATCTGTGATATATGATGTCAATATTTAATTTTCATTTATTCAATTATTGTATTAGTCTTTAGAGCAAATCTCACAATGTTTCAAGCTTAAATTTGCAATAGCTAAATTCGGAATTTAAAAGGAATGTTTATTTGCTTTTAATGCAGAAACACAAAACTTGTATCCCTTACAATGTCAGCATCCACTAAGGTGAAAATATTATCCAAAGTGTGCCAGCAGCAAATGCGACAAATCATTTTTCATGCTCGCGCTTTTTGAACACTTTGCACCCTTCTCCCGAGCATGGCAGAAATTATGAAAATAGTGCGAAACAAAAGCAGAAAAACATAACAACAATAACAAGAAGAAAAAAAAGCATTATGCACTTTGTGAACCCTTTTTTTTTGTATGTGCGCATGTAGAAGGTCGGAGAGCTGAAAGGTTGGGTTTGAGGTCGCATTACAAGAATGCTTAGAGGAGAAAATTGGATTTTTCATCTTGAATGGTAACGAAAAACAATGTGCGCATGCCATGACAGCACGCCAATAACAGTAAAGCCGGCAACAAAAAATAATAAGTAAGCATTTAACATCACAAAAAATAACAGCGGCAACAACAACAACGACAGCAACGAAAACAACTACAATAACCAAAAAATGTTAGATATGCTGACAAAGGTAATACAATAAATACGAAATGACTTCGTTGCTGTTCTTGTTTTTGTTATTGTTGTTGCTGCTGCTGCTGCTGCTGCTGTTAATGTTAAATTTTACGTAGCACACTTTTGGGCTGTAATTTTTGAGCAGTCCCCGAGAGGGTGACTGCTTTTTTTTGTAGTTGAGCAGTTTTCAGTGTTGCCGAGGGCACACAAACTTTTTTTTTAATTTCATTTGCCCATTGTTATTTATAAAACATTCGTTTTTATTTTATGAGCTATAAAGCGCATTAGCAAGGCGAACTTGAAAGTATGCCAGGGGTCAGGTGGGCAATGGTAATAATAAAGAAGAATATTACTTCAAATTGTATAAGAGAACGCTTTATAGCGCCACTTAGTTCAAATGATTGAATAAGCTATAACTTCAGTTGCACGACTTTATGGTTAATTGTGCATATTGATTTAACTGTAAAAATGCCATTAAATTGACTTTGAATAAAGGTTTTGTTTTTGATTTAAAATACTATTTTGTCTCTGTATGTGTTAAACTTAAAGTTAAGAAACATCAGAGCAAATTGTCGTTATACTGCAACCTCAAACAATCAATATCATAAAGTTTTTAACTTTATTTATCAACATTTATGGGCATAGGCTGCGAAAAACACTAAAAACAAGACGCAAATTGCATTGTCACTAGGCAAATTCCATAGTTATATAAGTTAGCTTTGAGAGAATCGATAATGGACGTTTATTGTTAGTGGCATTGGCTAGCGTAGTGGCGTAGTGGCAAGATATATATAACGAAACCAATGCCAAAGAATAACACACACGCACACACACAAAATGCAGCACTTTTCCACGCTAAGCACAACAAAATCCGATTGCCTGCACACCACAAAAAAGCACTTACGCAGGCCGCCCATTTTGTTGCTACATATTGGCATTATACTAATCCACACAGCCACACGCAACAACTTAGTTATTGGCCACGACCAGACCAAATGGATCCGACGCTGTTGGAATGGAGGCTGAATGGCTTTCCATGCAAGTGCTAGTGCTGGCACTGCTGCTGCTGTTGTTGTTTATATTGTTGTTGCCCCAAAAACAGACGAAATGGTGACGCACATTAGCTTGCCGTTCGTTCTGTCTGCGAGTCCGCACAGATGCGGCAACATTAAATGTGCGCTGAAACTGAAAAGTTGAACGTGCCCCATCCAGTTGCATTGCTGCCTCATCTTGTTCTCTGCGGCAGCCAATTTTGGTCGAGCTCTCGTTGTCGTTCTACACTCTGCTTGTTGCCCATTATCAGCTTCATTATGTGGCATTAGCAGACAGCCTGGCAAAGCCACAGCCAGAGATACGAGTCAATGTCAGAGTCAAGCTGCTGTTTTATGTGCTAAAAAGTTGCATGCAATTTATTTGTGGTCACTCGACACACACACACACACGTGCGAAAAATAACAGTCAACTCATTTTAATTAGCATAATAAACGACTCTTAAGCTCATTAACTGGAAAAATGTAATGGCTAAAGCGAGCTGAAAATAAAAACAAAAATTTTAAAAAAGATATCGTCACACACTCACATGCTATCAGCACCGGTTTATCACTCAAGTGGGGCGCTCAATTTAAGTCCCATTCAAAAGCGCTCCGCAGCTGCGTCAGCTATGAGCAGATAATACGCTAATAGCCGAAATGGAGCAGATACTTTGCTATGTAAGTGCGGCAAATTTCAGGTCCCATGTGGCCAATTTCCAATTGCCCCGATAAATTTCAATGGTTTCATATGAAATAGTAGCCACCGACTCGGGTTCAACTGCTGCTGACGTCAAGGGAGATTCCACAACCATAACTTAATATTAATTTTATGATTGTTGGCATAAAGTAATCATGAAACAGCACCAAATTACTGGCTAATTACTTGCATTTTAATTGTGCTGCAAACATCATTAACGCTTTCGTCTGATTCATTTGCCAGTTACAGTAAAATATGTGTGCCTAGTGCCAAGCAGAGGCATGGTGACAAATGCACGTGACTCGCGATTAGCGTCGACATATTTCAGCGTATGCCTGATAAACAAAGCACTTGAGACTCGTAAAAGCAAATTGATCAGACCCAATGCCTATAATTGGATCCATACACAAACTGAAATGCGCTCGAGTAACATTGGAACATTAGAGCATATCAAACTATACTCATAGTGTAATCATTAGGTACACCAAGGACTGAATGTTGAATCACACCTAAAAAAGTCCGTTGAAAAAATACAACTCGTGTTGAATTAAAAATAACAGTGAAATCTTTATATATATACTATATTAAACAGCAATTATTTATCAAATAATGAAAAGCAAACAGTTACAGACTATCGCTACAGGAATAAAAATATAGCTATGGTGCTGTATATATTTCTTCTATTTCATATCTCTTAAAACGTATTACAAAAATTAATCGATAAAGTTAATCGTAATTAAATTATTAATTGAAGTCAGCACTTGATAAGTTTTGCACTTAATATTTCGTTGATCAACTCGTCCATACAATTTTGACAATCGATGAACCACTGATCGAAAAAAATTTCAGAGCCTTAAAAATAATTTGGCCTTTAAGCGGGGAGCTTAAAATTGTATCTCAGATCTGCGTTTAACCTCAAACTCAAAAATAACAAAGCGCAAATGATTTATTTGAAAAATTATAACCCTTTTTAAGGCATAACATTTGTACTGAAAATTATTAGAAGAACAGAACTGGGGGCTTTTGTGCCAGCTACTCCATCGATCATAGATTACGTGGTATGTCTCAGTAGCTGAACGATACTCAAAGATGACACAAGTCACCATTGAAAGTCGTCACATGGTCTGTAATCACCTGGCCCCAAGTAAAGAAAACTGAGTCAAGAGCTGTTTGTGTGGCAAACTGCAATTGAGCAACTCGTGCTAATGCTCAATCATTGATCCAATTGATATGGCTGTTAAGAGTGCTAAAGTGTTCTTTTAATTTTGTTCAGCTGCTCGCTGGTTTCTGTCTGCTGCTTACCGATAGCCGTATCCATATACTTGGCGATAACTTCCCTTCCCCTACCCTACTGGCAGAACACGTCTATCAAAGGCGTTGTCCGCCTGTTTGGCAACGCAATCACAAACAGAAATCGCAAAGTGTTTGCGTTGTTGCGTCGAGATAAAAAGGCGCACAGATTATTATTGTGTATGTTGGTGTGTAGGTGTGTGTGTATGTATGTGTGTGTGTGTAGATTAACTGTAGTTTAATTGGGAAAAGCTACCCGGTGTATGGCTACTAAGGTGATCGAACAGTACATGAAGCGCCGTTGTGCAGGCAGGTCGCGAAGAATAACTCGGAAAGCGGCAAGAACAAAACCAAAAAAAGCTTATCAAATAATGTAAGAGCCAACAAGTGTCAAAAAATATCCTTAGAAAAAGCAAAGTTTAAGTTAAAGAATGTCTTCCAAATTGTGCGAAGAACTTTTACAAGGTCATTTTGTGACCCATAAGCTCAGTTGACTCACATTCTTGTGATGCCCTTAGTTCAATGTTGTCTTTGGATTGCTTAACTTTATCAGTGCGAGGTTATCAAAATTGTTCAGATAAGAAGTACACATGCCACAAATTAAATATTTATACCCAAGTTTATCCAACGTATATTTAAGACTTAAATAAGGCTAAAATGAGAACAACTTAAGTTGCAGAAAAAACCCACTACGAATAAAGCCGTAAGCCTAAAGTAAAATGTTACTCGACATTTTAATAAAGTGTTAACTAAAGTTGTGCTAATAACTAAATAAGAACCATAAGAACCACTAAGTCCAAAGCCATCAAAACATATAATCTTCATCTGCACATAGGCTAAGCGCCCATCACAAATTCAATTTGTGTAAGAACACCGTCATATATAAAAATATTCCGAACAAAAGTTCTAATTACAATCATAAAGTAAAACAATAAATGCGAGGTGAATAAACAAGTCCATCCACCCACAAGACAATTAGAGTAGTCACCGTATTATTAAGTCTGAGGGCTCCCGCAGGACTCAACCCAGCCCGTAATGCCCAATTATTTGAAACCATATTCAAGACAATTACCTTAATCTTAATAGCGACATGATTTACGACAAGTTATCTTAATTGATTTTTGATAATTGCCCGCTCGTTAAACGTCTACTTCGATTGCCTGCGAGTAAATGCAAAACTACCCTCATACATAAACGTATATAGCCTGTGACGTCAGAGCTCGTGATTGATCATGTGAAACAACACTTCGCACACACACACAGGCACACACACTCTCACTCTTAACACATAAATTGTTGTAGAAATTATTGCGTTACCGATAATATTTTTACGGCTGCAAAACAGATTTCTTAATTAGCTAAACACCGCTGTCTGACTTCAGACAGCCACAATCCGACCCCAAAGCCCCACCCGTAATTATAGCCAACATTTAGGGCAAAATATATTGAACGACTGGCGTCTGAATACTTATTGGATTGCTGCCGTTGAGCTGCAAATCTAGATATTATTATTGTGTCCTGCGATGTTATTTTCCGTAAGCGATTTATGACCAACTCAATCGCACAGATTTACGGCTATGTAAAATATCGGATGGATCTGTTAATTAGCTTCGATTAACTTCGAAACCTTAATAAGGCTTTGGATTGTTATTTAACTGTGAATTACATGAAATTAAATAAGAAGCCAGGGTGATTCTTGGCATATGAATGGAATAGAAATACGATTGCCTCTGAATTCAATTAAGAATTCAGAATAACTATTAAATTTCTAAATTTTATATTAAAGCATAATTGTTCATAAGTTTTGCACCTTTAAAAAAAATTTAAAGAACTCTTTAAGCAAAGTGAAATGAATTGGTCGAATTTAATGCAACGGAATTTATTCGAATTTATTGCAACTACTTGAGTATTATCATGCTGAATGTTCGAGTTCCTTTTGTTGTAAATTATTAACTTTAAGTCTTGGTAAGGCTCTTTAATGCCTTAACAAAGCGATTGCCATCAGAGGCAATTATCAAACCAGGCACAGACAGAGCCGCTTATCAGCCAGCGAGCCAAATTGGCTGAATCAATCAAATTTATTACCAGACATGCGAGACAAAATCACAGCAGGCCACTGAGTTAGACCGCCATAAATATCTGTGTAGTGCGTATAATCTGGAGTACCAAAATCACTATCAAGCAGAGCCATTATTCATGCGCTCCCTATGTGTACTCAGTCTGAGTCCTGTCTGCCCACCACTTGTAAGTGCCTAACTTCGCCCATGCAGTGTCGTAATGAGAGGTTAGACCTCCTCTGACTTATATGGATGTACATATACACACATAAATATTACATATATATAGTAAGCGAACTGATTGCTCAGTAATTGTTAATAATTTCAAATTATTAGCGAGCTCAACGCACACACTTCAGATAAGCCAGCTGTTAAAAGCGAAACGAACGCGATAACTGTGACAACCAGCGTTATCTTATCTGGGCCGAGTATGAAGCACAAATAGTTCAGTTCCACATGGAACTACATATATAAACATTAATAATAAGCGATTGATTGGGGCAACACATTCAGATTGGGAACCATAAATAAGGTGCGCTTGATTGGCTCATCAATTGTGGCTCCAAATATTATTTAAGAGCAATCTTTGTAATTAAAAGTATTGGTTGAATCGAAAGAAACAATTTTATATTATTATTAATAGGAATTATTATATGGCATTCGTTTTTTATTTAATTTTGTTTAGATTTACTACAAAATCAATTTAAAAACGTGCAAGATAAAAATTTTTAAATATTTTTATTTGAAATTAAAAACTTTGAAACGCTATTAAAAGTATTTAATAGTGCTGAGAATACTTTAAAAAATTTGGAAAAATAAAAATAAATTATGCGAAAATAGTCATAATAGTCATAGTCAACAAAAAAGTCTGAGAAATTCCCTGTACTATGGAGTAAGCCAGAATTAATCAATATACGTAACGCCAATCGTCCGAAGATATAATTCAATCAAAAATACGGGTCATAAGAAAGAACAATAGAGATAGTCTGGAAAATATAAATAAAACAAATGGTTACACAACAATTTCACGCTTGACAAATTGTTTTGTATAAGTATTAAAACAAATTAAGTGCTGTTTAGATAATACATAAATTTAGCTTGCTAATACTATTTTATATTTTAAATGCCTCTATTTATGGATTATAAAAGTCAAACTAAACTAATATATAAAGCTTTTGTCAGCGCTAACAAGGCTAATAAATAACACTCAATTTAATCAGCCAATAATCAGATAGTAATCGGCAACTTATTTTTCCATATCGCAGATAACGCTTCAGCGACGGCTCCACCATGGGCGATATGTTTCGCAGCGAGAAAATGGCCTTGTGCCAGTTGTATATACAGCCCGAGGCGGCCTACGCCTCCATTGCCGAGCTGGGCGAGAGTGGATGTGTCCAGTTTCGAGATCTCAACGATCAGATCAACGTCTTTCAGCGCAAATATGTGAACGAGGTAAGACGCTGCGATGATATGGAGCGACGTGTGCGCTATATTGAAAACCAGCTGCGCAAGGATGACATCAAGATGCCGGAACTTCAAGCCGATCAGGACATAGCTGCACCCAATCCACGAGAGATCATCGATCTGGAGGCACAGCTAGAGAAGACGGATAACGAGTTGCGTGAATTGTCCGCAAACGGAGCTAGCCTGAATGCAAACTATAGGCACATGCAGGAGCTGAAGAGTGTGCTTGAGAATACCGAGGGCTTCTTCTCCGAACAGGAGGTCATCAATTTGGACTCGAATCGCCTGACCGATCCCGATGATCCGGCAGCGGCTCAGGCGGCTGCTCAGCGTGGCCAGCTGGCATTTGTGGCCGGTGTGATCAACCTGGAGCGTTTCTTCAGCTTTGAGCGAATGCTGTGGCGCATCTCGCGTGGCAACATTTTCTTACGCCGCAACGATATTAGTGGAATGTGTGAAGATGACGATGCCGGTCGCCCAGTGCTCAAGACTGTGTTTGTGGCCTTCTTCCAGGGCGAACAGCTGAAGCAGCGCATCAAGAAGGTCTGCGCAGGCTATCACGCTGATGTTTATCCTTGTCCCAGTTCCGCTGCGGAGCGCGCCGAAATGATTAAGGATGTCAACACAAGACTGGAGGATCTGAAATTGGTGTTAAATCAAAGTGCCGATCATCGCAGTCGCGTCTTATCCTCTGCTGCCAAACATTTGGCTCGTTGGAGCATTATGGTGAAGAAAATGAAGGCTATCTATCACATACTCAACTACTTCAATCCGGATGTGACTGGCAAGTGTTTAATTGGCGAGGGTTGGGTGCCTGTCCGAGATTTGCCCAGTGTGCAGGAGGCGCTATCTCGAGGCTCCAAGCTATCGGAGAGCAGCATACCAGCCTTCATGAATGTCATATCCACAAACGAACAGCCGCCGACGTATACGCGCACCAATAAGTTCACCAGAGGCTTCCAGAACCTGATCGATTCATATGGAATGGCCTCCTATCGGGAGGTGAATCCGGCCTTGTACACATGCATCACTTTTCCGTTTCTGTTTGCTGTCATGTTTGGGGATATGGGACATGCTCTTGTTTTAGTCGCCGTCGCCTCCTTTATGATTATCAGGGAGCGTCAACTGGCTTCGATCAAGGAGGAAATATTTAACATATTCTTTGGCGGTCGCTATATCATTCTGCTAATGGGTTTATTCTCTTTATACACGGGTCTGATCTACAACGATGTGTTCTCCAAGTCGATGAACATCTTTGGCTCTGGTTGGCAAAATCAATATAATACCTCCACCGTCACTGATGATAACATTAAATATTTGACATTGAGACCGAAAATAAGTAATTTCAAGACTTATCCGGTGGGCATGGATCCCATCTGGCAGATGGCCGATAACAAGATCATCTTTCTAAACACCTTCAAAATGAAGCTGTCCATAATATTTGGCGTAATTCACATGTCTTTTGGCGTTTGTATGTCGGTCGTGAATTTTATTCATTATCGCAAATACATAAGTCTCCTATTGGAGTTTCTGCCACAGATTCTGTTCCTGCTGCTGCTCTTCGGATACATGGTATTCATGATGTTCTACAAGTGGGTTGTCTACAATGATGACAGCGACGACACGGCGCTCTCACCAGGCTGTGCACCCTCCATACTTATACTCTTCATCAATATGATGCTGTTTGGTCATCAGGAGCCACTTGACCTTTGCAAGGAGTACATGTTCGAGGGTCAGGAGGCCTTACAGCAAATCTTCGTGGTGGTCGCTGTAATCTGTATACCCTGGATGCTGCTAGGCAAGCCCTTGTACATCAAACTAACACGTCCCAAGCATATGGCAGCACCAGCCGCGCCATCTGGCGGTGCACATGGCGGTCATGGTGGAGATGATGAGCCCATGAGTGAAGTTTTCATCCAGCAGGCCATTCATACTATTGAGTATGTGCTGAGCACGATCTCTCACACAGCATCTTATTTGCGTCTGTGGGCGTTATCATTGGCACATGCACGTAAGTTGATCTCGAAATAATGGATTATTATTTTTAAGCTAATTGAGTATTACTTCATTCCAGAATTATCTGAGGTGCTGTGGAGCATGGTGTTCGCCAAAGGATTTATATTCCAAAGTTATGTGGGCTGTATTCTCGTGTATTTAATTTTTGGTGCCTGGTCTGTGCTCACCGTCTTCATTTTAGTGCTCATTGAGGGTCTCTCGGCCTTTTTGCATACATTGCGGTTGCACTGGTATATTATATATATTTAAAGTTCCTCAAATTATTCAGTTAACTGACATGTTTTTAAATTATTTTCAACAGGGTCGAGTTCATGAGCAAGTTCTATGAGGGCGCTGGTTACGCCTTCGAGCCATTCGCCTTTAAGCAGATACTGGAAGAAACGGAGGAGAACTAGAGCGACGAAAGCACTATCAAAGAGTTGTCAAAACATTTTGTTGCCTTTTCTTGTTTTCGGAAAAATAAATTCGATTTTCATATATGCATATTTCTATTTGCTTTGCTCATTTCTGTCCTCCTTAAGCCGACAACAAATGTTTGTCAGAGATGATTTCTGACAGTTTGCTACGGTCAGTTCCAAAAACAGACACATACACACACAGAGACTGACAGACAGAAAAACACACACTCAAAGTACGGTTATCAAAAAACAATCGTAAAGCAAATTGTTTGTGTTTGGCTCGGATGTATGCTTTCATTTCTACGTTCTGTGTGAGTGGAGAAAACATTTTTCTCATTAGAGCAAATGTCATATGCTGAAATTATGCTGTCAGTTCGCTTGTCTATCGAGTGCATTGAATTGTGAATTCAACGGCTCTCTGATGCGTCGTCTGGCAATTTAAATAATTCAAGTAAATTTGGATTCACATAGCTCAAGTATAATCGAGTATGGGACTGTGGATGTGATAGGCAAATCATTTTGGAATAATTAGACAATCAACTATGGTAGATTGGTTGATTATTGATTAAAATTTAATTAACCATTAATATTGACTAATTATTAAAATTGAATATGGCAAGGTAAGCACATAATAAATATTTATTTTTTATTGATTTAATATTAAATGAGCGAATAAAATAATAAACACAAAAGAGGTGAACAAATTAAAATTAATTTTAGTGAACAATTTTACTGGAAGCTGCAGGCAAAATAAAAACATAATGGCTACAAAGAAGCTTTCACGCAATAAATTTCATTACTGAAATGAAACGCTAACTGGTTGGCTGCCAACTGCAGCAGCACAACTCCAATGGCAATTATACATTTTCACAGTTGCACTTTATCTAAATTAACTAGGCATGGGAGCACACGCTCGGAGAAAAGCCATAAAGCCATGAACCAAGAGCGGAAAAGTGGGGAAAAAGCGACAAAGCAACGAGAATATGATACGAACGCGTTTTTCTACCAAACTGAACAGGTAAGGTGCGTAACAAAACACTTGCTACATAATTAAAGGGTGCTAGAAGAATGTGAAAACAAGGCGAGAGACAAACTATAAAATAAAACAAAGTGAAACGAAACGTAACAAGCAAAAAGCACAAAACAAAACACAACACAAACGGCAATAAACAGGGTCCAAATATCAACACATACACTTGAGCGTATAAAAGCGTTTTTATGGCACTCAGTCAACAAGATACCTGGCCCTGTTCTGGCCTGCTGTGGTCTGGTCTGCCCTGGTCTGCCCTGGTCTGCCCTGGTCTTCTCTGAACCTGGAATAATAGTCCGCATGTCACATTGTCCCTTTTCTGGTAATAATTTCACATTTTGCGTGACCCACGTGTCACTGTGCGGAAACATAACACGTTCTGGCTGCCTGGCTGGCTAAATTAGCAGTGATGAGAAGTCGTGCTCCTGCTGCCTGTTCTGGCTCAGCTTTGCAGTAGCTTAAGACAAGCCCCGGCGCGACTCCTTTTGGCTACGTTATCATTTATAATGAGTTAATTACATTTAATGCGCATGTACAACGGCCTGTTGAACATGGCGCACAATTAAATGTGACCCTGGCATGCAGTGAGCAGTAAGTAGCAAGCAACAACAAAGACCAAAACAACAATTACCAATGCGGTCAACAGAGTGTGCCTGCAATAATGTGGGAGCGACTTCCTCATACACACACATATATACATATATATATATATATATATATATAGTATAGTAAGTACCTATGTACTTACTACTTAGTATGTGTTGAGAGAGTTCATTGCAAATTGTAGTTGTCGGCACATTAAATTGCTGCCTTGAGCTGCTGCTGACTACAGCCACAAGCGAGTCAAGACAGTCTGCTCTTATTTAATACACAAATATTAAATCTTAAGCAAGGCAAGACCAAAGTTAAATACAAGTTGAATGCCCCTAGGCTGTGCACAAATAAAAACTGAGGATGCCGACTTCCTAGTATTTACCTAGTTTTAAATTATTTAACATCTATCTTTTATGCAAACAAGTCTCATTAAACACAAGAATTTTATTAAAGTCATTTGACTGGCTTAGATTTAAATGCCCAAATAAAGAATTAATAAAGCAAGTCATTTAATTTTACATTTTTTGTCTGGCTAAAAACTGTCTGATTGCTTATAAATGCCAGCTAAAACTAAAAAGGCTTTATTTTATTTAGTCTGTCACATTTTCATTGATCATTATTACAATAGAAATGCTGTTATCTTCATTGCATATATATAATGGAATATTTTTGTTGGTAAACATCTGAATATTCAATCCATGTCGCTACTACATTCCCATCTTTCATTCAATTGCTGTTGGCTATTGCATTGACAAGCTTGTTAAAACCGCACTTATTATTCTTACACGTTTTGATTCCCTGTAATTATTAAGTTGCTGCTGAAGTGTACAATTGGTCTACAGGCATACATGTGACAAGCCATCATTAATAGAATTATATAGTAGTCATAATTGTAATTATATTTTTTATATCTATTAGACATACATTTTCACTTATTCTATTATACTAAATTTATATTAATAAATGATAAATATCCTGAATAGTTTCGTACTCCTTGTAGCGTATTTATTTCCTTCGTTAGATCATATAAAAATTTGCTTTGTGCCTGCCCCCGCAGGTCATAATTTGCCTTGCCCCAAATTTCGTGCTTTGTCACTGACAGCTGCACAATTTGTACGCAGCTCTTGTTCACTTGTTTGACCGTCTGTTGTTGTTGTTCTTGTAGTATATGTTTTTCATTTGTATATTGCTATGCCACAAAATTTAACACAAAGCCATTGCTATGCAACATTTGTGTAGACATGTAGCCACGAACGAATAAAGCGCGAATAAAAATAAATTCTGCAATTGAACGAGACAAACACGCACAGAGAGATGCGTAGGTATGTTTATATGTGGATATTTCTGAGGCTTCATATTTTTATTGCTGGCCGCTGGCAGTTGTCAGAGTGAAAAGAACATTTGTAGCTTGTCATGTCATGCGGTCAATTATATATTGTTAACCAGATTGCCAAACTGCCAACAGCTTTTAATTGTTTCTTTTTAGATATAACTCGAAACACATTGGTACCGAAAATATTAGAAATACCAGCTCCTTCTCGTGCAATTACTTTATTTTACTTATCATTAAAATTTAGCTATTATTCCTTAATTACTCTTTATTCCGTGAATGACATTTTAAAACCAGTAAGAATACTCATCGAGAGAGCTCGAATATATTAAAAGTTTCCCTTTAAAAGTTTTGCACATTCAAGTGTATCTATTTTCTCATTTATTATACTGTTAATGCTGATAGTATGATATCAATTTTGTAATACTTTTTGGACAATAACTTCTTTCTCATCTTGATAAAATTTGGTCAGATAATCAATAATACATCAAGGAATATTTTATATATTGATTGGGTCTGCCTCTAAAATGGTTTCTTTTGCAACTTTCGAAAATCGACTTGCACAGATATTCGCGAAATGGGAGTATTTATCGAACAAATGATACGATAACGATTTTGATGCGCGTTGAGCTTACGAGAACTTATATTCTAAATTTCAGTATTGTATCCCTTATAATCTCTGAGATCCGCGGGCAGATCGCGGACTTGGCTGAATCGGCTTGGGTATTGATGCTGATCAAGAATATATATAACTTATGATATCGGAAATACTTCCTTCTGCTTGTTATATACTTTTACACAAAACCATTATACCCTTTTAACAGAAATCAAATCAAATGAAATGTTTTTGTGCTTAAATTCTTGAGTAAATTGTGTCCACTCAAACTGTCAGCAGCTTAATTAATCTTGAATGCGCAGCTGCAATCAGACGCCTGACAAATTGCAGTCTGGGCGAAATTCTGGTGTCAACTTGCATGCCAACTGGCTAATTAGAGATTATTTTGTAGATTTTTTTTGTGTTTGTTGTGCAAACGTCAAGCGCGGCTAATGCAGCTGAGCGGCACACACACAAAGCGTATACTTTATTTGGGCACTAAGCGGACAATGCCTCAGCGGCTGACCGACTTTATCAACAAAGACGCCGCCCCGGGGTGAGCGCAAATTTCAATGCGTTTGAAGCATTAAATAAATGTCCACTAAAAATGTCTGTGGCCATCGTTGTCCTAGTCGCTGTCCTTGTCGTTGTCCAAGCGTGTGCCTTGTGAGCGTTGTGCAGCCAACCAGACCACAAAAGGCGCATTTTATGACATAATCTTCATATCTCTGTTTCACTCTTGCTGCCGTGCTTGCCACTCACTCACACTCGTTCATGTCTCAAGGACGTGTTCGTGTGGCAGACTGGCTGACTGGCCGAAATCGCTGCAAGTGCTTTTAAGTCGTTGTCAAATGCAAAGAGCACAATAATTCAAATTTATGACGCGCAATTGTGTTCATCTACACGCACAGCCCATTTTTTGAGATTTGCTTTTTTTCTGTATTTTTTTTTTTCTTCTTTTTTTAGGAGGCGTTTTTGGACATGACTCTTTGAATTTGGGCAAAAATGAAGTAAAGTTGCCTGTAGGCAGCTCGTCATGAAGTATGTAAATTTAGTGCCCACGACTGAACTGACAAAGAAACTGCCATAAAATTGTTGTAATTTGTGGTTCTCACTGAACAATTATTTTCTGTGAGTGCTTCAGTTACCATCTAGGTGTGTCTTGGTGTGTGCCTCCGCTCCACTTTTTGGCAGTGTACAGTGTGTGCAGCGGTTTGAAAAGTTTTCTGCATTTGATTTACAGACATTTCCGAATTAAAACTGTCGTTAAATTATTTAAGTAACATTAAATGCTGTTATTTTGGCCATTATGCTTAAGTACTCTGAAAGTGATAGTAAAATGTGCTGAACCAGTTTGCTTTGGAAAAGTCTTTTTATCTGAGTTTTGGATGGGGCTTAATATGTATTTAACTTTCTAATAATATTGAAGAACAATTCCTTTTTTAAAAATTTAACAGAAATGGAATTGAAATCGCGTTTGAAATGGGCTTACATTAGTTTTTATGATATACATCGTAGTTAGATGGAGCTTAAAATTT